CCCCTCCCCTTCCCTTCCTTCCTTCCTTTCCTTCTTTCTCCTTCCTTCCCTCCTTCTTTCCTTCCTGTTCTCTCTCTTACTCTCTCTCTCCCTGCCTTCCTGCCTCCCTCCCCTCCCCTTCCCTTCCTTCCTTCCTTCCTTTCCTTCTTTCTTTCTGATGGTACTAGGGTTTGAACTCAGTGCCCAGAACAGCCTGGCCACAATAATTTTTAATGCTTCCTGTGTCGCTGCAATGACAGGCATGCACTACTATGCCCAGGTTTTTTCACTGAGATGGGGTCTCATAAACGTTTTTGCCCCAGCTGGCCTGAATCATCAGTCCTCCCAATCTCAACCTCCCTGCATAGGTTGGGATGACAGGCTTGCCTTACCATGCCCAGCTATTGGTTGAGATGGGATCCTATGAATTCCCTACCCGGTTAGTGTGGAACTGCAATCTTACTGATCTCAGCCTCCCAAGTAGTTAAGATTACAGGTGTGAGCCACCATCTCCTGACCTGGTAGTTTCTCAAAGGTTAGTTGAAATGTGGACTCTGAATGAACTTTTTATTCTGTTACAGTAGAGTCCACTGGTCTATCTTACACTTACATTGGATCCTTTACTCATGTGTGAGACTGTAATATAATGGACTGTTATTTGAAAAAAATGATTTCCTGAGAGTTATAAATATTCCTGAGAGTAATAAATATGTAGAATGAAACATTTCATTCTACAGTACCACATTTATATTTGCTAAACTCTCCTCTGATGTCATCTGTAGTGTTGGATGCTCTCAAGCTCAGAATAGTGGATACAAATTCCTCTCAGTTCTAATTTTTACTTGAAAAATTGAATTTATCACTGGCTACAAATTCTGTCAGTGGTCTTCTTTGAAGTGAGACACTTGCTTCATTCACTTTCAAGAGAATGTCTGCCAGGCATCTAAGTTCCAATAAGCATAGTTTGTCGGTCAGACCTTCTTTGAAGTAAAAATCCAGTTTCAAGATTCGGCTTGCTGCTCAAGTGATGGTTCAGGTGCTTTTCCTCAAGACTACTATTCTGTTTGGTGCTTTATGGGTATATCCCATTTCATCACACAGCGTATTAAAATGAGATGCACTCAGACTTGAGATTTGATAAAACTGACAATTGTCCCTGCTTTATCAAGGATGCTCTTAAGTGAAACTGGTTTGTTTGTTTTTTTTTTCTCAGCTAGTGCAGAAAGATGAGGAAGCAGTGACTCTGAGAGCAGTTGGGAGCCACTGCTTTGGGTCCTGCTAAGACACCTGCAATGTCATCCACCTCTGTGCAAATGTTAACCTGGAAGTTACAGGATAATATTGAGGTTCAAAAAATAATGCAATACTTTGAATATTTCAACACCTCTTATATTATGGTGCCTAAAATTCACATAAAGGATGTTTGATGATTATTGTGCTGAGCAAAACAGCAGGTTCATCAATGTCTGATGAGTCACCCTTTGGTAAAAGAAAAGAATGAGTCCTCAGATGAGGAATCGACTCAGTCTTCATATGGCAGCTAAGTCTTTTAATTGGATGAGTAGCTGTGTCCTTGCAAAGCCTCTGTGCTGTGATTTCCTTACCTGACTTTTCCTCCTGCAGGCACTCAGCAGTGTCAACTGTATACCTGTTCCTCAGCTCACATGTATACTTTGTAGCCTGTGCAGCATAGCCAGCCCTGGACGAGCTGCTAGTGCCTTCTTCCCATAAAAAGGTGTAATAAATACTACTTAGCTTTTAAGAGCATATTATGCCTACATTTAAAATATCTGATTTGTTTTTCTTTATACCATTAATGGTTGGTCTCTAATGATATATCTTGACTGTACCATAAATATTTAAAAAAAATGTTTCATTGCATAAGATAGAATGAGATAAATTATTAACATCTATAAAGTTGAGAGAAAGATGGCTTTCATTATAATTCCATTTTTTATTTATAATTTTACCCAGTTTCTCTCTTACATGTCATTTTCATTTTTTCAGCATTTTTAGATATAGACGGTACAGTTGCAGGTTGAAAACTTAAGTTCTAATCTTTTTAAAGAATTCATCCTCAAGTTAGGAAAAAGTACATTATAAATAAATTTTCTTTTAGAATGGGGTGAAATATTACTAAACTCTATAATGAGTTTTTGTTTTTAATGGGACTGGGCTTTGAATTCATGGCTTCACACTTGCAAAGCAGGCAACTCTACTGCTTGAGCCACACCTCCAGTCCATTTTGCTGTGGTCGTTTTGGAGATGGGGTCTCGTGAACTATTTTGTCCCAGCTGGTCTTGAATCTCAATCCTCACAACTTGAGCCTTCCAATTAGTTAGGATTACAAGTGTGAGCTACCAGCACCTAACTTGTAATAAATTTTGATTAAAATAAAAATTTGTTTTTTAAAATTAAAAATATCATGGTGAATCAAACTAACAAATATTATGTTTTTTGTCGGTATCAAAGGAAACTTTGGGGTTCAAACTAAGGACTTATCAAACAATAGTTAGAGAGATTATAGCAGAAATAATCAAAGGCAGCTAGTAAGACCTCAGTAAAAGTATTGAAAACAAACCAAATTAAACAATTTTCATTTTTTTCTTTTTTGAGACAATGTAGGCTGGCCTTGTACTCTGATCTTCCTGTGTCTGCCTACTCAGGGCCAGGGTTACAGACATGTGCCACCTTGCCTGGCCTTAGTTAATCTCTTAAAAAACACTTTTCCATACCCCAAACCTCTGCTTTAGAAAGAGAGCACACAGAACACTCAGGCTCACCTCCATTAGCTGCCGATGATGATATCAGAACACATTGCATAGTCTCTGGAAAGTTCCAATGATGCTCAAGAGAGCGAAGGGGAAAAGGCAAGTTAATGTTTTAGTTTTGCTGTGACAACAGTTTGTAGTTGTAATGAACCACTGCTCTAAATACTTGAGCCCACCAATAAAAAGTGACCTCTGAAAGTCACTTTATTCCCTAAAACTGTGTCAAGATCTTCCTCATGTGGGCTATCATCTCTGTCTTCTCAAAAGCTAATTCTGGTATCTTTTGTCAGATCATCTAAATAAGAGCAAGGGTAAGAAGTGGAAGCATGGAGGACCTTCTCTTCTATGAAATAGGTTGACTAATCAATTTATTGCTATTTTTTAATTTGAGAAGTGTGTAATTTTGGTGCAAGGTTAGGCTTTTTTGTTGTAGACTCACTCTTTGATCCAGTTTATGGCAAGGATAAAGATTTTCTTTTTTTCTGTTGATACTGGGGTTTGAACTCAAGGCCTCACACTTGTTAGACAGGTGCTCTACCTCTTCAGCCTCTCTGCCAGTCCTTTTTGGTGTTGAATATTTTCGAGATAGGGTCTTGAGAACTGTTTGCCCAGGCTAGCTTCAAAACATGATTCTCAGTTTTTTCCCCTGCTGGAGACAGGTTACTCCAGAGGCACCTGCACACCCATGTTTATTGTGGCACGATTCACAAAAGCCAAGTTGTGGAAACAGCCAAGATGCCCCACCACTGACGAATGGATTAAGAAAATGTGGTATCTATATACAATAGAATTTTATGCAGCCATGAAGAAGAATGAAATGTTGTCATTCACTGGTAAATGAATGCAATTGGAGAACATCATTCTGAGTGAGGTTAGCCTGGCCCAAAAGACCAAAAACCATATGTTCTCCCTCATATGTGGACATTAGATCAATGGCAAACAGAACAAGGGGATTGGACTTTGAGCACATGATAAAAGCGAGAGCACACAAGGGAGGGGTGAGGATAGGTAAGACACCTCAAAAATTGGCTAGCATTTGTTGCCCTTAACGCAGAGAAACTAAAGCAGATACCTTAAAAGCAACTGAGGCCAATAGGAAAAGGGGACCAGGAACTAGAGAAAAGGTTAGATCAAAAAGAATTAACCTAGAAGGTAACACACATGCACAGGAAATTAATGTGAGTCAACTCCCTGTATAGCTATCCTTATCTCAACTAGCAAAAACCCTTGTTCCTTCTTATTATTGCTTATACTCTGTCTTCAACAAAATTAGAGATAAGGGCAAAATAGTTTCTGCTGGGTATTGAGGGGGTGGGGGGGAGAGGGAGGGGGTAGAGTGGGTGGTAAGGGAGGGGGTGGGGGCACGGGGGAGAAATGACCCAAGCCTTGTATGCACATATGAATAATAAAACAAACAAAAAAAACCCAAAAACAAAAAAAAAACATGATTCTCCTGATCTTTGCCTCCCAAGTAGCTAGGATTACAATTGCAAGCCACTGCCGCCTGGCAAAAATGAAGATTTTAATGAGATGGTCAGAACTTCTCTAGCATCTTGCTGCCCATGCTTACCTATGGGACAACCTAGCTAGACTGCGGGGACAAAGTCTCAGCTTCCATTCATGTGGTAAAGACAGTCCTGGAGTGTGGCTCCTACCTGATCTTCCAATTATTACAGTATGTCTGTCTCCAGTGAAGATGCCAAGCTCTATCAAACATCAGTTTTAATGTGATAATTAGTTAGGATTAAATTGTGCATCAAACAAAGTCTTTTATAGTAATGTGCTATTAGGATTGGAAAATTGTTAAATTATGAATTCACTACTTGTGCTCTATTTCTTTGACTAAGATGCACATTTGGGGACATTTTAGTAACACTGAAATGAGAATGTGTTTTCAATTGCAAATGTATTAGTTTAACTGATGGCTTTTTTCCTATTGTTTGTGAAAAAGCACCAATTTTTGTTTTAATTTTGAAATGTTATGTTCAGATTTGCTTTTGTTCTTTTTTAATTACAAATGTCTATTTCACGAGGAAGACTATAACATATTTTACTTTTTAATGGTTTCTATATTTCTATTACAAAAAAATGTGAAATTTGCATTTCCATGTTCTTTGCTTTGTATCAAATAGAGTTTAAGCAACATTGAACTTTGCTGATTAAACTGTTTAAAAAGCATGTTTTCTAAAAACCAATCCAATTTTGCTTGTTTTAAATGTAATAGTCAATATTTAATTCTGTCCATGACAGGTTTATTTTAGAACAGTGGAACTTGTAGAAGAGCCCATAAAAGGGTCTCCTGGTCTGAGTTTCTACTTCAGAATTAATGGATTTCCCATATTTCTGAAAGGTTCCAATTGGATCCCAGCAGATTCATTCCAGGATAGAGTAACCTCTGACGTGTAAGTTATTGGCTTTCTTTTCTTGATCCTCTTTTCATTAACAGTCCCACTATGCTTAAGAATTTTTTCTTTTTAGTCCCAGGGGAAGGAACTGAGAGGTAGAATAGAATTCTAGGATGAAGGAAACTTTCAGGACAGGAGTTTTCAACCATATATTCCACTCTCCTGACCTATAGACAGTTTTACCACTAAACTATTTGAGACTGCTGAAGCCATTTAGTTTTTGGAAACCTATTATATATTTACTTTGGATAAACAAGAAAATGAAAAATCCACATTTTTGGATAGTGGATACTAGATGGATAAAAAGATTGTTAAATCCAGCTTGTTTTTTCAGTTCTTCAGAGAATACCATAAATATTTTTAACATGGTTTTAAGAGACAAGGAACCCATATTTTGTCTTTTTATGCTAAGATATGTTCTTTTACTTTTCCTATTAATAAAGGAACTAAAAAAATCTTGATGGGAGAGAAGTGGGCAGGTGTAGGAGAGATGATGTAGAGTAGCAGGGGTGTAGGATGGACAAATCTGGAGAATGGGGCACAGCCTGAGGATGCTGGGTAAAAAATTGAATTGTGTACAGGATTTATGATAAATGAGTAGATTGTAGCTACTCTTGGCACAAAAACAAGAAAAATGAGTGACTGTGCAAAATGATAGCTGTGTTAATTTGCTTCACTAAAGTAACTTTTAAAATATCTGTATGTGACCCATAATATCATGTTGTATAGTTTAAGTATACACAATAAAACTTACTTAAAAGTAAAACAAAACAAAATCATAAAAATTCTGGATCTTGAAAAAAACCTACTTTTTTTTCCCCCCAGAGGTTTTGAGAGTAAAACGTTAAAAGAAAATGGTATTTCCAAATTGGTTTTGTAAACTACTATGTTTGTGACAGTGAAAATAAGTACATTTTGCTTTATTTATTAAGGTCATTAACAGTGTAACATTTAACTTTTTGCAAATGCATAAATATGCATTGTGGTATTTTATTTGATATTTAGAACATAAATGTGATTGGTAACTAAACCCTAATTTTTTCCCAAACTTGTGGTAGTTTTCTTTTACTTTGAAATGTGTATAGTATTTTAGATTGCATAAGAGAGTGAAATTCTCCTCCAGATGCAGACGTGGGATAACTTTCCCTTTTCCACCGTTCAGCAGAGCTGGGCCAAGGCGCTCCAGCCTTGTGCCTGGGCTGAACGCTCCAGCGTGGTGTTTGGCTTCAGAATTCATTCCTAGGCAGTGTTCTGAGGAAGGGGGAGGGACCATGCCTTCCAACTTGTAAATTTGTAGTTTCCCTGAGGAAGAACTGGAAAAAGTAGAAAGGGAATTTACGGGGGAAAGATGTACTGGGAGGAAGAATTGAAAAATCTGGAGATAAACGTTGAGCGAGGCACTACATTATCCCAGCTTGGAGTTCTGTTTCATTGCTTGAGATGGTTATATATATAAAATAAGCACACTTTTCCAGGCTTATACTGCATTTTTTATAGGAATAAATATATAACCAAAAATTAAAAATAGTGTAATAAAAAATTTAGAAAAATATCCATACTTTTTCAAACTTTGTGGTTTTAATCAGTGTGTATATTATTTTCTCTCACTTCCTTTAATTAGCAGTATATCCAAGTCATCATGATTTTAAAGTATGTTTTTTATTTTTAAATTTTATTTATTTATTTGTTTTGCGGTACTGGGATTTGAATTCAGGGCCTTCACTTGAGCCACTCCACAGCCCTTTTTTGGGAAGTGTTTTTCGAGATAGGGACTTGAGAACTATTTGTCTGCGCTGTCTTCAAACTGCAGTCCTCCTGATCTCTGCCTCCTAAGTAGCTAGGATTACAGGCGTCAAGTATGTTTTTTAAATAGAGATTTGAAATGAAAAATCTTTCCTATTTTTCTTAATATTCCCAAATTAGCATTTTTTTTTTTTTTTTTTACAATTTCTTCAACAGGTTGCGGCTCCTTTTGCAGTCTGTGGTGGACGCTAACATGAATGCTCTCCGTGTGTGGGGAGGAGGAATCTATGAGCAGGATGAATTCTATGCACTCTGCGATGAGCTAGGAATAATGGTGAGCGGTTGAGCGCATTTTATGCATTCACAAGTTACTATGTCCTGTTTGACCTCCAGTGTTCTCAGTGGATGTCATTGCTCCTTCTTTTCTCAGAGCCAGGAAGATATTTCTTTTTCTTTCTTTTTTTCGGTACTGGGGTTTGAACTCAGGGCCTACACTTTGAGCCACTCCACCAGCCCTGCTTTTGTGAAGGGTTTTTCAAGATAGGGTCTCAGGAACTATTCGCCGGGGCTGGTTTTGAACCACGATCCTCCTGATTTCTGCCTCCTGAGTAGCTAGGGATTACATGTGTGAGCCACTGGTGCCTGGCCTGATACTTCATTTTTTAGGAAAGGAATAAATGACATCTTGTAAACCTAGAGCCATAGTTAATAGCAAATACCAGAATTATCTAATTTTTTTTGTACATATAAGTTTAATTATATGTCTGTCTACATGTTCTTCATAATTTTCTTCATGACATGTAGGTATGTATAATAAAATAAAACATTAAAATAATTTAACTTTAAGGAGATCTAATACTAGAGAGAAGCAAAGTAATGAAATGAAGTAAGGAAAAGCTGTGCTCTATATTGTTATAAGAGTACTCTCAACGTGTTTTCTTATTAAGCAGAGGAAATACAGTTGTCCCTCAATATCTGTGGGGTATTGGTTCTAGGGCCCCCTGAATACTAAATTCCACATGTACTCAAGTCCCTTATATGAAGTAGTGGAGTATTTGCACAAAATCTGTGCGCATTCTCCCATATGCTTTTATATCATCTCTGCATTTCTTTTTTTTTTTTTATTCATTTATTCACATGTGCATACATTGTTTGGGCCATTTCTCCTCCCTAACCCCCACCTCTTCCCGCTCTCCTCCATCCCCCCTTCACTTCCAGGCAGAGCCTGTTCTACCCTTATCTCTAATTTTGTTGAAGAGAAAACATAAGCAATAATGAGAAAGACGAAGTGTTTTGCTAGTTGAGATAAGGATAGCTATACAGAGAGACTCCTAGCATTGATTCCATGCACAAATGTGTCTAAATTTCTTACACACCTAATACATTGTGAACCTTACATAAATGGTTGTTATGGGAATGATGACAAGGAAAAAATCTGTACTTATTCAGTATTGATGAGATTTTAATTTTTTTCTGAATATTTTTTATCAGAAGTTGATTGAATTCATGGATGTAAAACCCATGAGTTTGGAGGACCAATTATACATTGTTTTAATTCTAACATTATGGTTATCAGATATACAGAGCAACACAGAAGTTACAGAATAAGAATAATGTCACAATAATGACAATATTCTAATAATATTCATTGACTGCCACACTGTGTTCTCGGTGCTCTGTATGTATTGTTTCATTTTATTTTATCTTCATGCCCATCCAGTGACTGTAGTTACTATTGTTCTCGATCCCCATTTACTGATAAGGAAATGACAAATGGAGAGATTAAATGCCTTGCCCCAACTCACGCTGTCCATCCGGGTAGAATCGAGATTCCATTAGGATGGGCTGCTTGGGGTGGAGGCTCTGCTATCAGTCAGTTCATCACACAGCCTCCCTGGGAAGGGAAGCATGCAGTCATCTTTTTTGCTGTAAAAAGTTAATTCCCTTATAAATAAAGTATGATTTTTACAGTCGGGTGCATCTCAATAACAAATGCCTGGTGCATATTAGAAAGAATTAAGAATGAGGAGAATCTTGGGAGAAGTTTCATTTTCTTTTTCCTCAATACACACATTCTTTTTATTTTTGAATTCCATTTTCCTCCTTATCTTTTCTGCCTACTTAATGTTTTCTCTCCTTAGGCTCCTGAACACTTTCACCCAGCCTCTCCTCTGAGCCTCAGATGGCACATTCACCAGAGAACTTGGTGTTTCATTTATGAGAAGGAGGCTCCTCTATGTCCAGAATGGAGACTTTCTTCCTGTGTAATAACACTGACAATATTGCTTTCTTGCCTTGTATTTTATTTGCTAGGTATGGCAGGATTTTCTGTTTGCCTCTGCCCTCTATCCAGCTGACCAGCGCTTCCTGGATTCGGTGAGAACAGAAGTTGTTCATCAGGTACGCTATTGCCATCCCAGGAGGAGAGAAAACATGTGCGTTTCAGTTTTGCCTTTTGTTAAATCACCCATTTCTTTTTGTTATTCTCTACTAAACCCCATGAAAAATTACACAGCCAGGTAATTGACTCCCTAGGCATTCCATAGCTTCAACTCCACCAATTTGCTGGTAACTCCAAGATTTATGCCCATCCTAAACTCTTTGCTGAATTCCTTGTTCCTGTATCCAGCTGCCCTACCTGGTACCTGTGATGGGAGATTTAATACGCCCCTTACATGTGACCTGTCCAAGCCAATCTTGCTTCTCTTGCAGTTTTCCCCACCTCAGCAAATGACAATGCCACTCTAAAAATTGCTCATGACAAAAACTTTAAACTGATTCTTGATTCCATGATTTGTTTTGCATTCTACATATGCACTATATTTTTATGTATAGATCTGTAAATGTAAGGAAGTGATATATGCTAATCTAGCAGTATTGAGTATTCTTATATTGAAGTGGTTTTCTATTAAGAGAAAGGCTTCAGCTGAATGTGGTGAAGTGTTCCTATAGTTCCAGCTACTCAGGAAATTGAGGCAGCAGGATCACTTGAGCTCAGGAGTTTGAATCCAGGCTAGGCAACATAGTGAGGCCTTGTCTCCAAAAAAAAAAAAAAAAAAATCCCCAGAACTGCAAACAAAACAAAAGGAAACAAAAATCCCCAAACCTAAATAAATAAATAAAACCCCAAACGACCTAACCAAGCAAGCAAATGAAAAAAATAAATAAACAAAAAGAGAAGATTCTGGACTTTTTTCTCCCCACTGGTTGTGGTGTTCATTCTGACATCATCAAGTGGCCATTTCTGGCATAGATCTGGGTTGTCTGCATGTGCTGAATACACTTGTTTTGGTAACAAGGTCTGTTTGTGGGGTTATGCTTTGAAACACGTCCCTCCCCCCGGATCATAAGTGTGTGGCATGGGTTTCCATGTAGAGTCAACGTGGTATTCTTGGCAGTACAAGAAAACTCTGAGCCATGGTGAAATCCCAAATCCAGATTGGAAACTAACTTGTGAATGTACTGTATGTTAGCAAAATACTGCGGATGCAGTGACGACAGTCAGCAGGGAGGGATTGAACTCAGGGCCTTGCACTTGAAAGGTAGGTGCTCTACCACTTGAGCCACTCCCCCTGCCCTTTTTGCCTTTGTTATTTTTCAGGGTCTTGTTTTTTTTCCCTGGGTCAGCCTTAGACTATCATTTTTCTACTTATGCCTTCCATGTACCTGGAATTACAGGTATGAACCACCACACCTGACTTGTTTTTGAGTTAGGGCCTCACTACCTTTTCTGCTCCAGCTGACCTCTAGCCATGATCCTCCTATCTCTACCTCCCAAGTAACTGAGATTACAGGTGTGACCCACTGTACCTGGCTCTTGATTTCAGCTTCTTATATTCAACTGTTTGCCAGATTCTTTTTGCGATGGTGATATAGAAACAACAAATATTTTGATTTCTTATTGTTCAGTCTACCACTATAGGTTGGTTGACTACTTTACCTCTTGAACCTCAATCTATCTGTAAAACTGAGTTGATTTTATTCTTCTCACAAAACTGTTTTCAAGATATATGTAAATACATCTTTAATAATATACTATTTTATATCATATGTAAGATAATACATGCAAATATGTGGAGTGTAGAATACCCCTAATGTCAGCTGTTCTACTAGCAGCCCTAACATGGCATGTCTTAAAAGTAAATCTGCTCTCCTTTACTCAGTGCATTCTTCCAAGATGTTTTTTATTTTGCCTGGAAATCTGAGCATTATCTTTGATACCTTCCTCTTCTTCTTCTTCTTCTTTTTTGATGGTACTGGGGTTTGAACTCAGGGCTTGCTAAGCAGGCATTCTACCTCTTGAGCCCTTTTTTTGTACCGGGTATTCTTGAGATAGGGTCTTGCAAACTATTTGTCTGGAGCTGGCTTTTAACCACTATCCTCCTGCTGTCTGCCTCCTGAGAAGTTAGGATTACAGGCATGAGCCACTGTGTCCTTCGGTTTCTTGTCTTTTATCTCCCACATACCACCAGTTTTAAAGTCCAGCCAGGTTTTGGATGCTGATGTTAGTTGTGTCTGTACAGACTCTCCATCCCTCTCCTTAGAGTTCCAGTTTGAATCCTCGTTGTCTCTCCCCTTGACCTTGGCGTTTCTTCTCCAGCCATCTCTTTGGCATTGGCGTCTCCCATCTTGAGAGAATACCCAGCAGAAACGCCACAGTCTGTTTGAACTGGATCATTTTGCTCTTTTGTAGGGCCAGCCCAGGTGAGTGCAGTTCATACAGGCTTCCGTCCCCAGCTGGTAGACTTTTCAGATAGACTCTCTAACATCCTCTTCTGTGCTGGGTCCTATTCGGGAGCTCACTTCATCTCAGTGAGTCCTCAGGTCACATTGACAGCCATTTCAGGAGAAGCCCTCTGGATTGCCATCGGCTTGGCTCTTACTTCCTCTGGTACTCACTTGCTTTGCAAAATCTTCTCTAATTGTCCTTCTGGTTTTCTTTTTTAAATTTAGCTTTAAAAAGTCATTATTTTATTGTATATGTGTAGGGGGGAAAATGTGATAATTTGATACACGTATGCAGTATGTCATGAATAAATCCATGTAGTTAGCATTTCCATCTCCTTAAACATTTAAAAACACTTATTTACACGTGATAATTACACAGGTTTATGAGGCACAGGGTGATAGCTCAATGCTTGTGTGCAGGGTGTAACGAACAAGTCAGGGTAATTTGTATTTCCACTTCCTTATCATTACTTTGTGTTTGGGGCCTTGTGCTCCCTCTTCTAGTCCTCGTAAGAGTCAGGGGAGTCTTGATCCCTTCCCAGGGGTACTGTTTGCTTTGAGTTGTTTGTTTCTTCACAGAAAACTGCAGCTTGCTCCTAACAGCCAGCCTCTGTAATGTCATGTCCCCTGCCTTCTGTGTTTCTTGGAACCTTCTTGTGGCAATTAGATAATGATGAGGTTGACTGCTTTTGTAAAAGGGATTGTATTTTCTTCGGTTTTTAATACAGCACAGAAAAGGAACCCTGTCTTATCAATGCATATTAAATCTAAATAGGAAGAGATTTGGAGAATTCTTAAAATGTGTCTGCACAGCTAACATGTCTAACCATTTGCTAATGAGTTTTATGTGCTGAAATGCAGTGGTTAAAATTTTATGAATAGCTGTAGCTCTGAGCTTTTTATGTTAAGTATTAGAAAATTATTTTATTCTTCCTTAAATTTCAGGTCAGAAGACTGAAATCTCATCCCTCTATCATCATATGGAGTGGCAATAATGAAAACGAAGCAGCATTGATGATGGACTGGTTTCTTATAAATCCCTTGCACCTGAAAATCTACATCAAAGACTACGTGACACTGTATGTGAAAAACATCAGAGAGCTTGTCCTGGCAGTAAGTAGTGGCTTTTAAATGCAGTAGAGTTTAAGTGTTTAAAAATGGACAAGTCCGAATATTGCTATAGTGTGTTTCATACCGTTTGCCTGCAGTCTTCAAAAGTATCATTTGAATTCACAGCATTTCCTTGCAGTGCTGTGGCATGCAAAAGGATGGTGGGTTGTGTGTGGATTCTTTGAGGATAAACGCTCCACAAGCACCCAGTGCTGGGCTCAGAGCCTCTGGTGGTCACACACTATTTGGAGATCATGCATGATCCTCAGCTGATTACAATCTCCAGATCAGATCATTTATTGATATGCCCCCTCTACAATTCTGTAATTGTAAATGCAAACGTAGAATTTGGTAGATGTCATGTATGAATCTGTTGGTATGTGATTTAAGAAACAAAACCAGAAAAAAGATCTGGTTCCTGACTCCACCTTAGGGCCCTTTGTATCACTGTTTATCTAATAAGCTTATGATACAGGCAGACATGAACGCAAATCGGTCACTTTTGTGGTGAGAGGAAGGCAGCACTTTCTTCAGTAATGCCTTTAAAAAAAAAGTTTAAGAAAAAAACACGTGTGATTAACAATCTGGTTGTGTACAATTTTGTGTCTATAATTAGATATCTGGTATATCTGGGTATAGCCTGAAGCAATTTGAAAAGGGATATAATTATTTTTTAAAATAATGTGTGATAGTATCACCTAAATATGCTCAGTTGATGACACTATTAACATTTATTTAACTTATTTATTTTTGAGACAGGGTCTCAAAACTTGAGACCCTCCTCTCTCAGCCTCCTGAGTGCAGGGACTACAGGTGTGAACCACCACACCTGGCTTCCTATTCCACTTATGAGAAAAAATTTCAGTGAGAATTTATGAAAAAACATAGGTTCAAATTTATGGCTTTCCTGAATACACTAAGTCATATGTCATGAAGACTTTTCCTATTATAAGATGTGATGGTATAAAGTTTAATTAATGTTTATAAACCACTTATTTTATAATATTTTAATTAGCAGTATTGTTACTATATTTTCATACTCGTAGGTTTACAAAATAGATTTTAATATGGCACATAGTAACCTTTTAATTAATGGTAATTTTAACTATTACCATCTTTCTTGGTTTCATTCAACAAGACGGATCTTCAGATGCTTACATATTTTAATCTGTAATTTTAATATTAAAGTTTTTTCCTGCTGGTCCTGGAGTTTGAATTTAGGGTCTCACTCATGCTAAGCAAGCCCTCTATCACTTGAGGTATACCCTTTTTTGCTTGAGTTTATTTTTCAGATAGGGACTCAAGCTTTTGCCCAGGCTGGCTTCAGACTGATATCCTTCTATCTCCACCTCCCAAGTAGCTAGGATTACAGGTGTGCACCACCATACCCAACTTGTTTTAGGGCCTTGCAAAATTTTTGCCTAGACTAGGCTTGAACCGTACTCCTCCTACCTCCATCTCCTAAGTAGTTGGGATTTCAGGAGTGAACCACCATGCCTACTTTTAATACTACATTCTTGAACTTAAAAAATGAGCTTGTAAGTGCCACTTCTCCCTCTCTGAAAGAGAAATCTAATGCCTTTCTGAAGGACCAATGTATTTGAAAGTGAACTGTGAGTCATAATTGACATTTTGAAATTCTTTGAAGATAGTATTAAATGCTACATCACAATTGCTATTTTCTATTGAGACATCAGGGAAAGGACCGTCACTGGATACACACATACATGGTAGAAGCTGTGATTAGTTTCCGAATGCATTTCATGCTTTCTTTGTGTGGCCATTCCCTGATTCAGCTCTTGCTCTAAATCAGCATTTAAGCTCATATCCTAGAAAGCAGTCACCTGTGATATTTGAGACAAAAGCCAAGCCTGAGATGCTGGCAGGGCAATGCAGGTGCAGCTGCAAGCTGGTTGTTGGTAATGTAAGTGTGAAGGTCAAGTGTGGAGGTGTGAGCTGGGAGTAACAAAAACACGGGTGAGAGGGAATGCTTGGGAGAGGAAGGGGAGCAGGGAGAGACTGAAAAGAGATTAGTGTTGGTCTGACTGTGGCATCTAGCAGGTAGAGGCCAGAGATACTGCTAACATCTTATACTGCATGAGACCTTCACCCTTCATGCACTGTCCCCCCCCACCCCGACCCAAGCTTACCCAGTCCCAAATGGCAGTAGTACTAGAGTTGAGAAACTGTGTAGACCATATACTATCTATGATGGATGAGAGTGGAGGCAAAACATGAGTGACAAAGCTAGGACAAGTGGCAAGGGATGGGATTAAGTGTTGGTTATGAAAGGAGATAAAGGACTGGTGAAAAGTGGCGTAGTGCTGGTAGGGGAGAAGGTAAACAGTACCATTAGTTTTCTACTAGTTCCTTGGCATTTCTGAGATTTGCTAATGTTTTTAAAGATGTGATCTGTACTTTATTGAATGAAAATATCTTCAAAATCATCTTATTTCTGTACTTAGGGAGACACGAGCCGTCCTTTTATACCTTCCAGTCCTACAAATGGGGCCCAAACCATGGCAGAAGGTGGAGTCTCTCACAACCCTAATAGCAACCATTATGGTGATGTTCATTTTTATAACTATATCTGTGATTGCTGGAATTGGATGGTTTTCCCCAAAGCTCGATTTGTATCTGAATATGGATATCAGTCCTGGCCTTCATTTAGTACATTAGAGAAGGTAAGTCATCATTTGTTTGCTTTTCCAATGATTCAGAATGGTAGAGGATTGGGCCTATGTTGCTTCTGATCAATGGCTCAGAAAGTCATATGAGATGAAATCTGTTTCTTATTTAAGTGAAAGTACAGGGAGAAGGTGGAAATAAAGAACTCTTTTCCTTTGGAGAGCTAAAATCTTGTAGTTATCATTTTGGGGATTATAGGTTTTCTGTCTGCTTTAAATTGTGCTGAAGCCTGACTTACTGCACATAAAAATAACTTATTTGCTACTTTCTATATGCCCTACAACTGTTTAATAGTTTATAAATACTCAGAAGCAGATAGCTCACTACATAGTAAGAGAGGTAAATGTGATAAAAAGTCTTATCCATTGTTCTCAAATTCTATCTTTTCTTTCCCTCCTACCCCATTTCTTCCTTCTGTTTCCCTCTCCTCCTTTTCTCATGTTGGTATATTTGGTTTTCTGTATGGATTTTCACTCTCCACAAACCTAAAGATTTAGTTTCAGAGTTGTATGTGTTCTTTCTAAAGCAGTTTTTTGAAATACAATTCTCTTACCACACAAATAACACATTTAATTTGTACAATTCATTGGTCTTCAGTATATTCACAGACAACCATCACCATATTCTAATTTTAGAACTTTTCATCATTCCAAAGAAACCCTGAATCCATTAGCAGCCACTTCCCTCTGTCCTTCCTTCTCTAGCCCTGGGCACCACCAATCTACTGTCTGTATCTATAGATATGCTTATTTTTCACAATTCGTGTAATTAGAATCATGTGCTATGTAGTAGGTTTTGTTTTGCTTTTTGCAGAACTGGGGTTTGAACTCAGGGCCTACCCCTTGAGCCACTCCACCAGCCTTTTTTTGTGATGGGTTTTTCAAGATAGGGTCTCACAAACTATTTGCCCGAGCTGGTTTCGAACCGTGATCTCCTGATCTCTGCCTCCTGAGTAGCTAGGGTTACAGGTGTGAGGTACCAGGGCCTGGCCGCACTATGTAGTCTTTGGAGATTGGCTTCTTTAATTTAGCAAAGTGTTTTCAAGGCTCATCCATGTTGTAGTGTGTGTTGGTGTGCCATTACTCTTTATTTGCTGAATGGCATTGATTTGTTTATCTGTTGATGGGTATTTGTAATAATTCTGTCATGAACATTAGTGTACAGATTTTTTTGGTAAACATATGTTTTCAGTTCTATTGAGTGTGTGTCTTATCAGTGGGATTTCTGAGTCAGAAGGTGACTTTAGGGCAGGTAGAATGGCTCAAGCAGTAAGAATGTCTGCCTAGCAAATGTGAGGCACTGAGTTCAAGCCCCAGTGCCCTCAAAAAAAAAAGAAAGAAAAGAAAAACTAAAGGAAAAAGCAACTCTGTGTTTAATACTCTGAGAAACTACTGAATTGCTTTCTGTAGTGATTGCATCAATTTTTCTGTATCCTTGCCAAAACTTACTGTTTTCCATTTCTCTGGAAATGTCAGATTTGCATTTCTTCAATAGCTGATTAGGTCAAGTACTTTTTCATGTGATTTTGGCCATTTGTATATCTTCCTTTGAGAACTGTGTATTTGGATCACTCACTCATTCTTACTTATTTATTTTTGCAGTACTGGGGTTTGAACCGAGTACTTGCTAGGCCAGCGCTCTACACTCAAGCCATCCCCTGATCATTTTTTGCTTTAGTTTTTCTTTCAGATAAGATCTTGAGCTTTTTCCCATGGTGGCCTTGGACCTTGATCCTCCTACCTCTGCCTCCTGAGCCTCTGGGACCATAGGTATGTGCCATCTTGCCCAACTTGCTTTTTTTGAGATGGGGATCTCACTGACTTTTGCCTAGGCTAGCCTTGAACTTTGATCTTCCCATCTCACAAGTAGTTGGGATTACAGGCATGAACCACCATACTTGGTCCTCATTCACTCATTTTTAAATTGAATTGTCTTCTTATTATTGAGCTATGAGTTTTAGAATATGTTCTGGATGTTTTTAATCAGATAAACGGTTTGCAAATATTTTATCTCAATCTGTGTTATCATTTTATTAACTTGATTGTACCATTTAAAGCACAAACTTTTTTTTTTTATGGTACTTGGGTTTGAACTCAGAGCTTCACACTTGCTAGGTAGGTGTCCTACGACTGGAGCCACTCCACCAACCCAAAGCACAAATGTTTTGAAAAACTTTTTGTTAGCATATATTAGTTGTACAGGAAGGTTTCACTTATATGCTTATAACCATATATGCTTATAATGCACTTTGGTTAGGGTCACCTCCCCTATCATTCCCCCTCATCTCACTCCCCTACTTAAAACAATTTCAAAGGTTTCCCTGTTCTATTTTTGTACAAGTATATAAAGAACATTGACCATATTCATCTTCCCCCTCCCCCTCCCCCTCCCAGAGTCCCACTGGTACTCACCCCCAACTGGACCAGTTTCACATTCCTGTCTGTCATTTTTTAGTGTGTGTGTGTGTGTGTGTGTGTGTGTGGTACAAATGGGAAGGGGAGGGTATATTGTTGATGGATTTCATATACCTATATGAAATAGCACAAAGAAGCCTCTTGCAGGTCTTTTAAAGAAGGTGGAGAGGGGAGTGGTAGGACGGATGGTGGGGGCAAAGAAACTAATGTACAAGATAAGCCTAATCAAGATTGTCATTATATATCTCCTCCTGCATAATGAATGTATCATAATAAAAAATTAAGTAAATAAATAAATCATAGCTGCATTGGGTACAGTAAAAAGAGGTGTATATTTGTTGTTCAAAGGGGTTTTGCCATGGTATTTCACTCATGAATATGTTGCACTTTAAGTCAGATTGACCCCCTCTATTACTCTTCCTTACCCTTTCTCCTCTATCCTCTATTAGCAGATTTCAGTGAGTTTCATTACTTCATTTACCTACACAGATACATTGTATTTCGATATTATTCACTATCAATCTTTTTTCCTCTCCCTCTTCCCCAGTCCCCCCAAAATAGTCATCCCACTATTGCAATCATGTTCTGTCTATCTACCTATCATCTATCCATGATCATGTTTGTATTTGTGTATACATTTATCTTTTGGTTTTGTCTTCCATACATGAGAGAAAACATGTGACCTTTGTCTTTCTGAACCTCATAAAGCACAAACTTAAATCCTGATGAAGTTTTACTTGAGCTTTTGGTGTTTAGCTAAAAATTATTGCCTAATCCAACTGATAAAGGTTTACTCTTGTGTTGTCCTGTACAAATGTTACAGTTTTAGCTCTTGCATTTCAGTCTGTGATCCATTTCGAATTTTTTTTTCTTTCTGTGTGGTATGAGGTCAGAGTGTATGTTCACTCTTCTGCACGTGAATATTCAATTGTTCCAGCACCAGTTATTGGTGCATGGCTTAAAAAGATTGACTTTTAGAGGAGTGCCGTTATGTGGTTTGTGTCTGCAAGTCTGTCAAGATTAAACATGAGTCTATTGGTTTTGTTTAACAGTCACTGAGAAACAAACAAGTACTATGAGCCAACTCTAAAACATTTACTGTTGCAATAGTGGCATTTTATTCCCATTTAAGAACTACAACAGTTTCAATACAATGTTGACTTAGTGTATTATTCAGGTTTGACAAGCTAATAACCTAAAATGCATTAATGGTATTGTAAAATACACATAGTGAATGTTTTAGAAGCTATATGTTTTGATAAGGCCAGCTTTTTGAGAGAAATAGCAAAATGTGACTCTCTAGGTGTGAATAAGGGAGGTTGTGGGTGCCAAATCCTGGTTTTGTGATTCTGCTTTGCACAAGGCTAGTGTCAACAGTAACAATTGTGATGGCAAACCCATTTAGAGTCACAAAACAAACCTTAAGTTCTTTTTTTAGTGTGTAGAATTCTTTCCAGATTTGTCAGGAACTTATAAGATAGGTAGTTTTCTTGCTAAAATCTATAACTTATTCTTTATTCAAAAGGTCTCATCTAAAAACGACTGGTCTTACAACAGCAAATTTTCCCTTCATCGACAACATCATAAAGGTGGCAACAAGGAAATGCTTCACCAAGCCAAATTTCATTTCAAACTCCCCCAAAGCACAGATCCATTACGTAAATTTAAAGACACCATCTACCTCACTCAGGTAAGTCATTTTCATTGTGAAGTCGAACAGATTTCTACAGTTAATATAAGAGAACAAGTAAATTTTATAGGCTTTATGTGGTAGAAAATATTCAGGTTTTCATTCCACTGATTAAGGAATTTATTTTCATCACAATACATACACGATAACACATAAGATCTGAAATTGTGAATTTTTGGTATTTGTTTCTCTTACAAGAACAGCTTATGAAGCTCTAAAACGAATTGTGTGTTGAAAGGTTTCCTAGTTCAAGATGACTATAAAGGCTTAGTAATTAAAATAGTGACATTTCTCAAGAGTAGAACACAATAGTGGAATATAAGAGAGTCCAGAAATAGACTCACATGCCACCTGATTTATGTGATTATGCCACTGCAATTCGGTGGGAAAAGGGCTTTTATCAATAAAGAGTACAATATCAAATGGATGCCTTTAGGGAAAAGAAGGGAAATTTGATTCCTGCTCAGAGGTTCAGATGTGGAGGCTGGGAGTGCACACATGCTTCTTGATCCTTCCAAAAAAGACTCAAATGTGAACAGGTGCTACAGTGAAGCCTGTAGGAGAAAACACAGGAGACTGTCTTCAGACTGGAGGTGTGGCTTAAGCAGTAGAGCACCTACCTAGCTAGCAAACAAGAGGCTCTGAGTTCAAACTCCAGTCCCACCAAAAAAAAAAAAATTCTCCCCTAAATAGGAGATTTGTGACTTTGAAATAGCCAGAGCGTTCTTAGGACCTGCAAATCATCAACTATAAAAGAAAATACTGATAAATTTACTTCATTAAAATTATGGGCTTCTGAATCAAAAACACACTAACAAGGAGAAAATACAAGCTACAGATTGGGGAGCAATAATATTCTGTTGCTCCAAAATGATCTGTCAGGCCCATTTGCAGCCATTCTTCATTCCTGCCCCCAGGGCCAAGGCAAAATAACTCTGCATTAAGTCTCTATAGATTTTACTTTTCTCAACATTTCTAATAAATGGAATTATACAATATGTGATCTTTTGCATCTGTCTTCTTCACCACGCAAAATGTTTTTGAAGCTCATCCATGTTAAGAATTTCATTCATTTTTCTTATCAAATAATATTCTGTTGTGTGGATATATATGTTTTATTTATTCATTTATCAGCTGAAGAATATTTTAGTTGTTTCTACTCTGACTATTATGAAAAATACTGTTATGAATATTCATATACAAATCTATATATGGAAATGTTTTCTTTTGGGGGAGAGTGGAAAATATATGAGTGGAATTCCTGAGTTATATGGCAAATTTATGTATAACTTTTTTTTTTTTCCAATGGGACTGAGGATTGAACTCAGGGTTTTGCTCTTGCAAAGCAGGTATTCTACCACTTGAGCTATACCTCCAGTCCATTTTGCTCTGGTTATTTTGGAGATGGAAGTTTCAAGAACTATTTGCCCAGGCTGGCCTCAAACCACTAATCCTTCTGATCTGAGCCTCCTAAATAGCTATAGACATGAGCCACGGGTGCCTGACTATGTTTAACATTTTAAGTTAAACTGGCAAATTGAATTTTGGACAATATTTCCATCTAAATGTTTCCATTTTGCTTTTTTTGTCTGTTTTATTTTATGTCTCTGTGACTACACACACTGTCTTGATTACATTAAAGCCACTGTGATGTTTTTACCATATTTCTTTCAAGTTTCTGGAAAGATAATAAAGACCTATTCCAATCATACTGGCTGATCTGAAGTAGGTCAGAAGTTTTTGTTAAACAGGATGACATTTAAATTTTTTCTATCTTAACATTTAAAAGTGCACCAGTTTTTATCCAAACTTATGCTTACTTTCATTAGTTTTCTCTTATAAAGATCAGCAGAACTCAGGAAAAAAGGAAGGTGTGCGATAGGCCCAGGTGACACCTACATCAGGAACATTTCCAGGTGCTCTTTCTTGCCACTCCTAGTCAATGTTGTGCTGGAGGCACAGTACATTACAGTTGGGCAAGAAAATGAAAGAAAAGGCATCCAGATCAGAAAGGAAGAAGTAAAACTATATCTGTAGGTGACATGATTATAACATAGAAAACCCTAAAAAATCAAAAAGAAAAAACTAGTAGAGCTAATAGATGAGTCCTGCAAAGTTAAAGGATATAAGAACAATATACAAATATTAGTTGTGTTTTTATGCACTAGCAATGAGCAACATGAAAATGGACCTTAAGTAAGTCATGCCACTTAATCACTTATGTTAATACCAACAATAGTAAAATACAGATGCTCTTTGACTTATGGTGAAATTACATCCAGATAAACTCATCAAAAATTGAAACTGTCTTAAGTAAAAAATGCACCTAAACTTAACTGAAAATTGTAGCTTTGCAACAGAATACACTAGTCATATGGCTGTCTGGGGCCTGTGACCTGATACTACTGCCTAGCATGGTGGGAGAGTGCTGTACCAATGTATCATTAGCCTCAGAAAGATAAAAATTCAAAAGCTGAAGTACAGTTTCCACTGAATGTATATCATTTTTGTGTCATCATAAAATTTTAAAAAATCTTTTCTCAAATCATTGTAAATGGGGGACCATCTGTATTTAGGAATATGGTTCAACAAAGAGGTATAAAACTTTCACACTGAAAACTACAAAAAATGCAGAGGGAAATGAGAGAAATGAAGAGTCATCCTGGGTTCATGAATTAGAAGATCTAATTGTTAAGATGAAAGTACTCTATAATTGATCAACATAGTCTCTATCAACATTGTTAGTGACTCTTGAGAAATGGGCAAGCAGATTCTAAAATTTACCTGGAAATGTAAGGTACCTAGAGTAGTCAAAATAACCTTAAAAAAGAAGAATATAGTTGGTAAACTCATGCTTCCAATTTCTGTAAAGCTTACAGTAATCAAGACAGTGGTACTAACAAAAGGCCAGACATAGATTGACTCAATAGAATTGAGAGTCTAGAAATAAACATGTATGTCTATGTTGACTTATTAGAAAAATGTAAGCATTTGTTTTCTTTTAATTGACAAATTGTATATATTTATAGCATGCAACATAACATGTATGTTGTGGAATGGCTAAATCAAGCTATGAAACACGTGCATTAGCTTATTACGTTTCAATTTTGCGTTAAGAACACTGAATCTACTCAAAAAATTTTAAGTACTAGGTGTACTCTTATTAGCTATAGTCACTAAGTTGTACAATAGATCTCTTCAATTTATTTCTCCTGACTGAAATTTTATTCCAACATCTCCCTAATACCTCCTTCTGTACTCAGCCCTTGGTAACGATTCTGGTACCGTGTCTATGCTTTTAGATTGCACATATGACATCATGTAGTATTTTCTTTCTGTGCTTGGCATGTTTCACTTAACATAATGTCATCCAGGTTCATCCATGTGTCACAGGTGATGAGGTTTCCATCTTTTTTAAGATTCCATTATGTACATATGCCAGTTTTCTTTGTCATCTGTTAACAGAGCCTTAGGTTCATTCCATGTTTTGACTATTGAGAATAATGCTGCAATAAACACAGCAGTGCAGATACACTTTGGATCTAAACCCAGTAGTGGAACTGCTAGATCAAATGGTAGCTCTGTTTTTAATTTTTTGAGAAATCTCCATTCTGTTTTATTTTTTTAGTTTTTTAATCTTTGTTGTGCTGGGGGTACATTGTGACATTTACAAAAGTTCTTACAATATATCATAGATGAATTCACCCCCTGCATCATTCTCCTTTATTCTTCTTCCTCCCATTCCTGGAATAGTTTCGTTAGGTCTCATTTTTCCACTTACATACATGTATACATTATGTTTCCGCCTCATTCATCCTCCTATACCCTTTCCTTATCTTTCATACTGTTTTCTATGGTAGTTGTACTAGTTTCCATTTCCAAGTTAATCAAATGGGGGAAAAATAGTATTATCAACAAATGGTGCTGGAACAACTAGATACCCATATGCAAAATAGTAAATTTGGTTGATGGAGTGGCTCAAGTGGTAGACCACCTGCTTAGCAGGTGTGAGGCCCAGAGTTCAAACCCCAGTACCACACAACACACACAGAGAGTAAATTTGGATTCCTATCTCATACCATATGCAAAAATTAACTCAAAATGGATCAAATATAAAAATATAAGACTACCAGAAGAAAACATAGGTATATATCTTTGTGACTTTTAATTGGGCAACAGTTCTCAAACATGATACTGAAGGAATAAGCAATCGGCTGGGTGCCAGTGGCTTGCACCTGTTACTTTATCTACTTGGGAGGCAGAGATTGGAGTGATTATAGTTTGAGGCCAGCATGAGCAAAAAATCCTTAAGACTCCATCTAAACCAATAGCTGAGCACAGTGGTATATGCCTGTCCTCCCAGCTATGAAGGAGGCTAAGATTGGGAAGATTTTGGTTCCAAGCTAGTGTGGGCAAAAATATTCACAAGATCTCCTCTCAACAGAAAAGGCTGGGTTTGGTGGCATGTATCTAGCATCCCAGCTGTGGTGGGAGACACGAATAGGAAGATCCTCGTCCAGGCTGGTCTGGGCATAAAGCAAGACATTATTTCAAAAATAACCAAAGGAAAAGTGGTCTGGAGGCATGCTCAGGTGATAGAGTGCCTGCCTAGCAAGCGTGAGACCTGGAGTTCAATCACCGGTTCTGTCAAAAAAGAAAAGGAAAAAGAAGAAGAAAAGTAAATGCAGAGAAAATCCAAAGGATAGGGAGAAAATTTATAAATCATGTATTCATGGCCAAGAAACACATGAAAAGTTGCTTAACATCCTTGGTCACTAGGAAATGCATATTGAAATCACAATGAGTACCACTCACATTCACTAGAATATGAAGAAAGAAAAGAAAAAAAAAACAAATATACCAAATATTGGCTCAGATGTGGAGAAATTGGAGCCCTTAGATGTTGCCAGTAACTAGTAAAATGGCTCATCAAAATTTTTTCACAATCTTGTGACTATGATAAAAACCAGTGAGTTATAAACTCTAAAAAGGGTGAATTT